ACTATTTTCCTATTTCCGTGAAGAACGTCATTGTTTTTTTCATAGGAATTGCATTGAATCTGTAGATCATTTTGGGTAGTGATCTAGAGATTACTACCATTTTAACAATATTATCTGTATATGGGCATTTTAACAATATTATTTGTAGGTCTCCTTAATTTCTTAGTTCATGCTACCATTGACAGGAACTTGTGAATTTCAATGAGAATAATGGGACCCTAGAATGGCAGAGACCAGGTGGTAGAAGTTAACGACTAGAGATGGGGTGAGCATGGTGAGTATGATAGGAGCACAGTCAGAGAATTGATCTGAATGTTTTGATCTGAGGAGATGTTTGGTAGTGGCTTTTTCTTCAGGTCTCTTAGATTAAAATAAATGACAACCTACTACTTTCTACTTGATCTGTATGGCCAAAATATTTCCAGTCTGGTGAACAAAGACCTAATTTGAGTCATCATGATGGAGATTTAAGGTCTTTCAATTTGCAGACCTGAGTCAGTTTACACACGCAGAGGCTCCTGAATGAAAACCAGGTACCCTTAAGGAGGGATTTTGCAATACCACGCACATGTGTTGTAAATGTTCTTTCTAGGAAGAGGAGCATGTGGCCATTTACCAGGGTAATTATGCAATGGGCAAATGACTTGGACTTTCAGAGATTATTTGACACTGACTCTGAGTTCCCATTCATTCCTGGGAGAGATTAAAGGGGGTTAGAACACAATGGTAATCTAGTGGTTAGAGGCAGGGCTTATGGAGTCAAGACATACAGTTTTATCTTGAATCTATTTACAATGGATCTAGTGTCTCTGCAAATAAATTAAATAGCTATTTCTTAGTTCATGAATGCATAACTTGAAATAGCCACAATCAGCAACTGACAGCTATACCACATTTGCTCCCTGACTAGTGTATAAGAACTTTTTTTTTATGGTAGAAAGGGTCAAGTAGAATTAGTTGGGTCTATCAATAACACATCCCTAGGGAAATCACAGAGATGACTGTATACCAAAGATTTGAAGAACACGTGTGTGTATCATACCCTCTTTTAACTTGCCTGTTTGGACTATGCAGAAAGTAGAGAGGTCTTAGACAATTATAGTCAATTATCAAAATTTAATCATTCATCTCAAACAGGATTTTTAAAAAGCTAGATAAATCATAGGAAACTGTAGAACAATAGAAAGACCAAGGTCTTAAGGGTAGTCATAAAGAAAAGGCATTACCTGCAAAAGGAAGACAAGTAGAATTAGGAGCTAGGAAATACATTTGCTTGATGCTTCTGGGATGGGAGAAATAGTTCTGATGACAGAAATGGAAACTGCAGCATAAGGTGAGAGATAGGTTAAAATATGCTTCTTTTGATGGTTATATACCTATGAATATAGTTACTGGAATAATTTGTCTTGCCTTTAGGGATCCAGAGCTACAGGGCCCCGGGACACATGCATCAGTCTTACATCTCTCCCCTTGAGTGTGCGCAGGACCTGTGATTTGCCTTTAACCAACAGAACATGGTGAAGGGGATGGGATGTCTCAGCTGTAATTATGTTATATTATACAAGACACTGTCTTGCTAGCAGATTTGCTCTACAGACTTTCCTTGCTGGCTTGATAAAGTAAGTGGCCATTTTGTGGGGAAGCCAATGTGGCAAGGAACTGTCCATAGAAGCTAAGGGAAGCTGCTAGGAACTGAGTGAAGCCTCTAGAAGCTGTGGGTGACTGCCAACTGACTACCTCTTACTTTAAAGCCAAAGAAAAGGATTCCAGCTGATAACAGCAAAAAAAGAAAAGACTTTATTGAATTATTTGGCTCATAAAACAACTAATAAGCTCCCTCCAAAAGAGGGGAGTAAAGTCTGGGCATTCAAAAGCACTCTAAATCCTTCCTCAGAACTAGAATGTTGATGTGAAGATGCTGCTGCTGTCACCAGAATGTATTGTATACTCCACTTTCCCTCCTGCTTGCTATAGATTGAGAAATTCCAGGCAGAAACATCTGATTAACCACTTTTTTGTTACATGGCTGCAAGGGGAAGGGATGCTGAGAAAGCAAACATCTGGTCTTTTATACAGTGGGCAGAGAACTGACCAGTGGTTGTTAGGGGTGGGAAGACAGTGTGACTATAAGGGGATAGCATGAAGGAGTCTTTTCAGGGTGATGGAATTATTCTGTCTTCTAATTGTTGTGATGGTGACAGATATACCTGTGTTAAAATTCATAGAAGTATGCACTAAAAAAGTTAATTTACTAAAAATCAGGAAACAACAGATGCTGGTGAGGCTGTGGAGAAATAGGAACGCTTTTACACTGTTTGTGGGAGTGTCAATTAGTTCAACCATTGTGGAAGACAGTGTGGCGATTCCTCAAGGATCTAGAACAAGAAATACCATTTGACCCAGCAATCCCATTTCTGGGTATATACCCAAAGGATTATAAATCATTCTACAATAAAGACACATGCACATGTATGTTTATTGCAGCACTGTTCACAATAGCAAAGACTTGGAACCAACCTAAATGCCCATCAATGATAGACTGGATAAAGAAAATGTGGCACATACACACCATGGAATACTATGCAGCCATAAAAAAGAATGGGTTCATGTTCTTTGCAGGGACATGGATGAAGCTGGAAGCCATCATTCTCAGCAAGCTAATACAGGAACAAAAAACCAAACAATGCATGTTCTCACTTATAAGTGGGAGTTGAACAGTGAGAGCATATGGACACAGGGAGAGGAATATCATACACTGAGGCCTTTCAGGGGGTTGAGGGGCAAGGGGAGAAAGAGCATTGGTACAAATGCTTAGTGCATGCAGGGCTTAAAACCTAGATGAGAGGTTGATAGGTACGGCAAACCACCATGGCACATGTGTACCTATGTAACAAACCTGTAGGTTCTGCCCATGTATCCCAGAACGTAAATTTTTTTAAAAAGTTAATTTACTATATGATAATTAGAGAAAAACAAAACTACAACTATAGCCTCATGACTGTTGCAGAAATGAGGACTGTAGTAACTACCCAGTCCCTCCCTGTCTCTTTTGGATACACATTTATACATAATAATTCATTTCCCTGCTTTTCCTCTAATGTTTTATGTAAGGTAAGTTTATGGTAATAACTATCTCATTTAGTCCACATGTTAAAAGGATATGAAGATGGGATTGAGACAGAATTAGGAGGGAACATCACCCATGGATGGATCTAAGTAGCCAATAGAAACTTAGGTCTTCCCTTAGTGGTGAAGATTAGTGCACTTTGTTCTGTGAGGGAGATTTATGTTACAATAGGCAGGATCATGCTGCTGCTGCTGTCAGTTATTTACATGGGAAGAAGGGTGTGTTGCAAGGTAAACGAGGCAAATAACATGAATTGGTACTTGTGGTGGACAAACTCTGATTTTTACAGAGCATCCTCTGTGACCCACACCTCCTAATGTTTATGCCTTTGTATAATAATCTTCCGTTGAGTGGGCACAGGACCAGTGATTTGCCTTTAACCAACAGAACAAAGTGAAGGGGATGGGATGTGTTGGCTGTAATTATGTTATATTATATAAGACACTGTCTTGCTAGCAGATTTGCTTTACAGGCTTTTCTTTGTGGCTTGATAAAGTAAGTGGCCATTTTGGGGGAAGTCTATGTGGCAAGGAGCTGTCCACAGAAGCTGAAGGCAGCTGTTAGGAACTGAGTGAAGCCTCTAGAAGCTGAGGGTGGCTGCTAAGTGACTACCAGCAAGAAGCTGGTAGCCCAGACTGGAAACCATAAGGAAATGAATTCTGCCAACAGTTTGAGTGAACCTGGAAAGTGGATTATTCTTTAGTTGATCCTTTACATGAGAACCATCCTGGCTGATACTTTGGTTGCAGCCTTGTGAGATCCTAAGCAGGGGGTCAAGCTAAGCTGAACCCAGAGTCCTGACCCACTGAAATGGTGAGATAATGTGTGCTGGAATTACTTATGCAACAATAGAAAACAAACACATGGTTCAATTTGCTTTCCACCCTCTTCGTTTGCCTTTCTATACTGTAGAGGCAAAAAATCTAAAAGTAAATTTCCTAGATTCCTTTGCAACTAGGATTCTGGATTTATTAGAGGCCAATCAGATGCATATACGTGAGACTTGAATGACAGAAGTGAGGTGTAGGCTATGTTTCTGCCATTTCTGCTGGTAAACATAATTGTGAAGATGTTTGGATGTTCTTAAGCAATTCAGTCATCAGTTTGTGGGTGATGAGAGGCAGGGTGCCTGGCATCTGTTTTGCCAATGTAAATCACAGCAGTTGAAGCATGGCTCCTGAGGTAGCAGCAGTAGTGATGGCTTTTTATGACAGCAGTAGGAAGTAGCAGTGTCCTTATCACCGAAGAGTTAGCAATTTCCTTGGTGGCCTGATGGTGTGTCTTTGAAAGTTGTTCTTGAAAACTCAATTTAGCCCATCCTCCTGATAATTATGTAAGCCATTTGCTATCCAGTAATAAATCTTTTCCTGCCTAAACTAATTAGAGTGAATTATGTTCTCTGCAGTTGAATTCTAACTGATAAAAGAGGGAAGTCCCCAAGTGATATCTGAGTTAAGTATAAGTAAAAATACATCTTAGCTCTGTATGAACTGAAATCTAGAAAAAGAAAAAAAAAAGGCTGAACATGGTGATTCACACCTGTAATCCACACTTTGGGAGGCTGAGGTGGTAGGACTGCTTGAGCCTAGGAGCTTGAGAACAGCCTGGACTACATAGGGAGACCATGTCTTTACCAAAAAAAAAAATAAATAAATAAAAAAAAAATTAGCATGGTGGTGTGTGCCTGTGGTCTCAGCTACTTGGAAGGCTGAGACGTGAGGATTGCTTGAGCATGGGAGATCAAGGCTGCATTGCACTCCAGTCTGGGTGACAGAATGAGACTTGTCTGTCTGGTGACAGAATGAGAACTGTCTCAAAAAAATAAAAAAGGAAAGAAAAAGGAAAAAAGACATCATAATAAATAATATTCATCTTTTTAAGTCAACCATTTTTCATGTTTAGTAGATATAATATTTATTTTTATAAAGACAAGTAAAGCCACCTTATAACATATTTCATTTAATGCAAAAGGTATAATGAACTGGTTCAGTTTAACACAACCACATAAGATTTTTAATATTAAGAACAACCTGTTTGGTTAACAAGATAGTGGCTATAAAACTATAATGTTTAGTTTGTTTCTCCTGCAGACTCAGAAAATAAATGTTTTCTTTTTGCTTTTCATTTATAATATTTTTGCAACTCAAAAATCTCTTTGTGTATTCAATTTTAATTAATCTAGGCTAAAATACAATGCTTAGTAATCTGTACCATTCTGACTTTAAAATCATATCAAATGTTAATAATATATATGCTCTTAAGAAAGTACCCTTCTTTGTAAATACAACTGCCAAAATATTCAACAAAATGTGTACAATAGTGCCTTTGTAACCATGTGTCTTTCTAGAGCTATTTCGGTATAATTTAAGAATCATTGCATAATAGCAGACATATGATAGTTTTCATATAAACTATTAATTAAGCTCTAAAATATGGACATAGTTCAGTAAATAATTTCTGAGAAAAGGCATAGATGTTTATCAACTATCTCTTTAAGTGGTAGTTTCCTTGAGAAGACAAGGTTGATGAAATCATTTTAAAGACACTACTAGTAAGTGTTTATTAGCTAAACCCAATTTATGAAATTTTCAAAGGTTCAACTTGAAAATTCTTGAACTTCTTTGAAAATAACATTCTATGGGCGAGGAAGCCACATGTGTTAAGCTTTGTTCACGGTGGATTCTTGCCAAAGGCTGACTATGCCAATTTCCTCCAAGAAAGGGAGACCTCTTGAGTCACTCTGAAGGAAGTCTGCTCTTTCATGGTTTCGCATCTAGAAAAGTCAAAGGGTTTATAACCGAAGTCTTTTGTAAAGAAAGAAGCTCCAATGAATGATTTCTCCCCCAATATCCTAAGTCAATTGATTAATAAATTGCTTTTGGCAGGAATAGCACAGAACAGTGGGCAAGTATAGTTTGCTTATTTAAGTGCTAACAAAACCCATCATCTCTAAATGGACTGTGTAATGATTGAAATATAAGCAGCATTAAGTATATAGAAATTCCATCTCTAAATTGGATAGTCAAAACTTTTTAGACAGATGTCAGCAATTCTGTTACCTTGCAATCATTACATACAAGTATACTTTATGTGCTTGCCAGATGAATATGATAATTCAGTCTTAGTGTAACCATTCTTTACTGTCTAATGTAAATTAACACATGACTGGTGAGAATCCAAAATCTAAAGCTAGAACCAAAGCAGTCATAAGCTACTCTGAGACGAATGCCACAAACAGCAGTGCCCAGAATTTCTAGTGATTTATCCGTCTAATGAAAGACCTATAATAGTTAATTGAACTGTTTTTTAAAAGGCTGGTTTTATCCAGCTTAAATCCAAATCCAATATTTTTTTTCCTTTATATCAGCCCAGAGTTTAGAGTCATTGATTTGCTTTTATCAGTAACAGAGTTAGCAGTGTGAGTCAGCAGCCTCTGAAACCCTCAGGTAGGAAGGCTGTAGAAGGTACTTAAAAAATCATTTATTACTAGAAGACCGAATGAGATTAATTTTAAAAGGTTAATAATATTTCAGTGAGATAACTTGAAAACAAGGGCCCAAATGGTAATCTTCTAGATAATTTGGAAAGTAGGGTTTACTGATTGACATATCAGCCTCACTAACACCCAAGCATAACACCATCTTTTCAAAATCATCAGTAATTCATATGTAAATAGCAACATAAGCTAGTAATTTCCTTACTAAAAGTGATATGCTTATGCCCTCTGGTGGTAACATTTAGCATATTCCCCTGATATTGCATATATTGTGAAATATAAAAAAGTATATTTATATTTGTTGTTATCTCAAATATCAAAATTTGAGATAACAACAAAGGAATGATGCATTGTGCTTCTGGATATATATATTTGGCCTTCAGTCACATTGGTAACAAGATAAATCCCTGAACCCTACTCACTGGAATCAAGCTGACAGCTATAGGAATCTTAGTAAACTTGTCTATGATAGGTAATTCCTAAGGGATTTGCATCTTGGTTCTAGACCTTAACTGAGAAGTTTTTGCATTTTCCAGCATGGCTTTTACATCTATGGGTTTCTCAAAAAACCTCACCAATGCTGGTTCATTCAACAGCGATGCAAGAATCTGTTCAAATGCAAATGACCACTGAGGTTCCTCCCTAAGAGAAGAAGGATCTTTCTCCAAGTGGGTCCCTGTTTTTTCCTCACTGGGTCTTCCAGAAGCACAGACAGTACCAGAGAATCCTTTGGCTGATGATGTAGGACTATGTAGTTTCCTTCCAACTTCTTCCATCCTGAGTAAAAGGCTGGTTACAACAGCAATGGCTTGATACAATGATTCTTCTTCAGGGTCCTCATGAAATAAGTTATAGAGGGTCTTTGAAAACTGAATAAATTGAGACTAGAAAACAGAAGTTGAAAATATCACATTTGAATATTAGACTTAGCAAATATAAAGAGAACTTAGAAGTGAATAGTCTCTTATATAGGATTTGTACCATATAAGCTCCACCCTAGAAGTTATAAGAACTGGTGATGAATCCCAAAATAAATCTTGGTTCTCGAGAGTATGGGCCAGGCGTGGTGGCTCACACCTGTAATCCCAGCACTTTGGGAGGCCAAGGCAGGTGTATCACTTGAGGTTAGGAGTTTGAGACCAGCTTGGCCAACACGGTGAAACCCCATCTCTACTAAAAACACAAAAAATTAGTGGGGTGTGGTGGCAGGCACCTGTAATTCCACCTACTCGGGAGGCTGAGGCAGGAGAATCGCTTGAACCCTGGAGGTGGAGGTTGCAGTGAGCCGAGATCACGCCATTGCACTCCAGCCTGGGTAGCAAGAGAGAAACCTCGTCTCAAAAAAAAAAAAAAAAAAAAAAAAGATGAGCATGAACCATGTAAGAAAATTCTTTTAGGTACTCTCACATCTTGCCTGATAGCAGTACATTATATCCAGACTAATTCCTGGACTGTCTGCCTGCCAGCATTACTTAAATGTCAGGTGCTATTTTCTTTTTCCTATACAAGGTCTTGCTGTGTTGTCCAGGCTTGAGTACAGTGGTGCAACCATAGCTCATTGCAGCTTCCAACTTCTGGGCTCAAGTGATCCTCCTACCTCAGCTTCCCAAGTACCTAGGACTATAGGCACGTGCCACCATGCCTGGCTAATTTTCAAATTTTTTGTAGAGACAGGATCTTGCTATGTTGCCCAGGCTAATCTCAAGCTCCTGGCCTCAAGCAATCCTCCCACCTTGGCCTTCCAAAGTGCTGGGATTACAAACATAAGCTACCATGTCCAGCCCAAGAAACCCATTTGGACATGTTTCTCTTTAAAGGCTGAGGTGGGGCCTAAGTGGATAGATAAACTGGTTTGCTTGCTAATTGCACCTAGATGATCGAGATATTTTCTTTCTTTCTTCATTAATCAACAGTTTTAGTGTTCATATATATATAGATAGATAGATAGATAGATAGATAGATAGATAGATATAGATGTAGATATATACATACATACATATTTTTTTTTTCTTGGTTCCTAGTTCACAACTTCCATAGTCTTTTGTTACAATCTTTTCTTATAATGCTGGGTGTATTAGGCTTCAGGGGCAGGCCTTAGAAAACAGAATATTCTCCCCCCTATAATTTTCTTCCCACCTTTCTTTTTTCTCCCTCTTTCTCTCTCCTTCCTTCCCCTCCTTCCTTCCCTCCCTCCTTTCTCTCTCTCTTTCTTGAATCTTCTCTCTACTCTAATCTTCCCACCTTTCTTCTTTCTTTCTTTCTCTCCTTCCTTCCTTCCTCTCTCTCTTTCCTCACTCCCTTCCTCTCACCCTCCCTCTATCTCTCCCTCCCTCTCTCTCTCTCTCCCTCTCTCTCTCTCTCTCTTTCTCTCTCTCTCTTTCTTTTTCACTCTTCTTGCCCAGGCTGGAGTGCAATAGTGTGATCTCGGCTCATGGCAACTGTTGCCTCCAGGTTTCAAATGATTCTCCTGTCTCAGCCTCCCAAGTAGCTTTCTGATAATTGGTTTTAGGACTCTCTCCAGAGAGGATCCTGCCTCATACCCTTGGAGGAAAGAATGCTGACATCATGAAGCTTCCACAAAAACCCAAGAGAATTGGGTTCAGGGAGCTTCTGATAGCTGAATGCATGGAAGCTGACAGGAGGAAGGTAAAGAACTCATCTACATGCCGGGAGGATGGCACACCTCAACTCCCTGGGGACAAAAGCTCCAGCCCTCGGGACCCTTCTAGGCCTTGCCCTATGTATCTCTTCTTCTGGTTTTTGTATTCTTTAAAATATCCTTCTTAGTAAACCAGTATATATAAGTATTTCTCTGAGTTCTGCAAGTCTCTCTGTAGCAAATTAATCAAATCCAAAGAAGGGATCATGGGAACCCCAACTTGAAGTTGGTCAGCCAGAAGTTCAGGAGGCTCTGACTTGTGACTGGGGAAAAGCAGGGAGCAGTCTTGGGGACTCACACTATTTCTAGGTAGGTAGTGTTGGAATTGAATTGCAGGACACTCAGCTGGTGTCTGCTGCTCAGTGGTGGGGAAAACGCCCACACATTTGGTCACAGACGTTTTCTTCTATGTAGATGATTGTTATTGTTGTGGTGTAAAAACAGAGGAAAAAAGGCAGTTTGAGAGAGTTTTTCCCTAAACAATAGTATTGTTCATTTATAGTAATTCTAGAATAAATATATTATACTGACTCATTTTAAAAAGTATTTATTCAATTGTCAAATGATACAGTCCACTGAAAAACACAAAGTTATTTGACAGTTTTCATTTTGGTAAAGTTCTCAGGATCCTCAGTATCTGTGCTAACCATATTTTAATTAAAAAAAGAAGAATGTATTTTAATTAGGCAGTGTATAAGAAAGAGATGAACTTAAAATTGTGTTCAGATATAAGATCATTAGGAACCAGGGTGTGACCCATCTCAGTAATTTCTCATTCCCAGTATCTAGCATTGGGTTTGGTATCTGGTAGGCAGTAAAAAAATGTTTACTGAATAAATAAACATTTCCAATAAAGTTAGAAATATATTACATATACATTCTTTTCTATGGGTACATGTCACAGCAGAGGAATTCTCTGAGACACTAGATGCATTTAAGTGTTAAAAATAAAAATAAATCATATAAAATTTCTTCACACTCTTCCATGCTCATCTGAAACTTAAATAACATATAGATTATTTAACTATTTTGGGAATAACATGTTAGCTGTTTCAGAGGTTACACCCAAATTCATACAAAAAAGCAAGAACTTAGAATTTTATTTTTGAAAATGCTATACCTGATTCATTCTTGGTAAATCCTTAATGTTTTCTTCTTTTTTGAAAAGCTCATCTTGCCATTTACTTAGATATGCTTGAATATCAATTTTCCCTTTGCCTGAAGAAAGGGAGTAAAACCATTTCATAAGGAACAAACCATTATACTTTTCCAAATTTCAAAAATAACAATTATAATTAAAAGGTATTTCACTGTGATATAAGATTCCATCTTTTTTAATCCAGGAAATGATCTGAAATTACCTTTCTTTTCACCCACTGGCTCTCAGAATACTTTTCCCATTTCTGTTTAGACTAAAACTTTTACTTTGGGAAGACTTGGGGACTAGGGAAGATGTGGCAAGAGAGGGAGAAAGGACATATTTAGATTAAAACAATACACCCTGACTTAATAATGCAAATTTTACATAGTCATTCTCATGTATACTACTAAGTTTAAAACAGCTTCTATATTATGTTCTTAATATGCATATATTGTAACAAAGTGAGCCAGGCGTGGTGGCTCATGCCTGAGGCCAACGCAGGCAGATCACTTGAGGTCAGGAGTTCAAGATCAGCCTGGCCAACATGGTGAAACCCCATCTCTACTAAAAATGGAAAAATTAGCTGGGCATGGTGGCGGGTGCCTGTAGTCCCAGGTACTCGGAAGGCTGCACAGGAGAATGGCTTGAACCCAGAAGGCAAAGGGTGCAGCATGCCGAGATCACGCCACTGCACTCCAGCCTGGGTGACAGAGCAAGACTCCATCTCAAAAAAAAAAAAAAAAACCACCACCACCAACAACAACAAAAACACAAAGGGTCTGGAGTGGGTCTTTTTCAAAAATTCGAAACACTACTAATTCATTCAAAGAGTTTAATCAAGATAATATTAATGTGACTATTTAAATAAATAATTATTTCAGATTCCTTGAAAATTGGATGGAAATACTGGGGAAGCTACCATATTTAAAGAGACTTGGAGCAATTGATTATTTTTAACTAAATATTGTTCAAAAACATTAAAACAATGATGAGCTTTTGGAGAGCAATTTGACATCCTGTATCAAAATATTAAATGTGCATACTATTTGTTCCAGCATTGCCATGCTTCTATGAGTTTATCGTATATTAAAGAAATATTTTAAAATTATCCTAAAGTAGAAGTATAAAAATGTTTGTTGTAGCATACTTTTCAATAGAAATAATTTGAAATAACGTAATTGTCCATCAATATTGGTCTAGTTATTGAGATAAATTATGGTACAACCAAACAATGAAATACTTTGCATCTATTAAAAATAATGAGGTAGATCCAAATGTACTGACATGGAAATATGTCCATGATATATTGCAAATTCCCAAAAAATTGTACAACAGTACTTATGGATTTTTTTTAAAAGAGAGATGTCTGCATACATTTGTGTATACATAGAAATAGATCTGAAAAGGATATAGACAGAAATATTTTTGGTTAGGGTTGAATGAAGGCAAAAGGACTTAAGTACTGTCTGAATTTCTTTTCCAAGAATTATATATTACTTTTGTAATTAAAATAAATCTTTTTAAAATAACAAAATTAAATGAATATGGGTCATTTACTATCACATTTTCTATAATTTCTGAAACATCAATAGCCTTTAAAAGGAATTCACCTTTTCCTCCTTTGTAGCTATTCTTGTTTACATAAACAATAACTAAATAAATGATAACTCCTAGATCATAGTACCTTTTTCAGGGCTATGTTTTGCTGATTCTGCTTCCTTCTCATTTGCAGGCTTGGAAACTAGAAGAGAAGACATAACTGCATTCTGTAAGATGTTTAACAAATACTCTTTGAAAGTAAAATAATGTTTCATATAGACTTATAAGCGCATGTTATTCAATTCTGCAAACAAATTTTAACTCACTTGACCTCCTACCATTAGAAGAAAAAGTATTCCAAAACTTTCACAGTTAAAAACAACACTGGGGGAAAATCCATATTTTAAAAAATCCTATAAGGAAGTATACCAAATATTAAGTATTTATTTCTGGGTGGTATTTTCTTCTTTGTGACTTTCTTCAAATAAAATTGTATTACTTTTATTATCAGGGGAAAAAAAAAACACATACTGGACATCAGAAAAGTGTGCTACAAAGCCCTGAATGTGGCAATAACTCATTGTGAAACCTTGTACAAGTCACTTCTCTCTGGGCATTAGTGCCTTTATCTATAAAATGAAAGGACTTGATGAGATGATTTGTAAGGTCCCTTCAAACTTAATGTTCATACACTTTAACATATAGTAACCACAAACACACATTAATCAGCATTCTTCCCTCTATAAGACATTTAATATTTATGAAAATAAACTAAAGGACCCAAAAATAAACTAATATCCCTTAAAATTATATCTTGGAGACACATCCATCCCTGTCTCCTATACCTACAGTAATTTATAATAAGTATTCATTGTTTGAAAAATAGCTATGATCTTTAATCATCAAAGATTCTATGGTATTTTATAAAGGCATGAAAATAGGCTAATACATTTTAGAAATTTCTGCAACATAAATAGAAACTAAATACTTTGAGTCTTCAATAAGCAAGAAATTCCACAAATCAACCCCCCAAAATGCAATTTGGTTAATTGGTCAAACATATATGGACTACGCTAATTGCTGTGGTGATACAAAAGGTGTATAAGGTAAAATGATGCCAAATTTTAGCTGGGTAAAGAGTATCTAAGCAGGAGGATATCTATTGGTGACTAATCATCAAAACAGTTAAAATTTTACACAGGTATTTACCATGGAGCTGACTGAAATAAAGTAATTCTTCCTTGGAAAGTTCATCTCCTTTTGAAGCATCCTTAGATTTCACTTCAGTATAAGCTGAAAACATATACATAACCCAAATTACATTTATAAACCACCAGGGGCAGAGATGAGATTCATAATGGGTCAGGTAAATCTGGCAACAGGGTGTTAAAGAGTTTCTGTATGAGAAAGATGTAAGTGAAGAAATGTAGAAGTGGTTCTACTCTATTGTATAGTAAATAACAAGAAGTTCTTCATCATTTTGAGTTCTATTATTTTTCCTACTTGTTTTTTAATCATTTTCCAAGAGCTATTAAAAGTTGAAAGTTTTAAAATCTGGCATTTAGAAATATCTGAAAATGTGACCTCAGCCATTTAAAAAACATCCTCAATAGTAAGGAAAACAGAAAGTTGAGTGCTTTGCTTTACTTCTTACCTGTGCTTTAACAGGTACATAACGTTTTTCCTATTTTTGATCCCTATATTAAAAGCATAGTTGATGACAATGTTAAACATTCTAACAGTCGCCTGATTTGACAATGTAAACTCCTTTTATTTGAGATGGAGTCTTGCTCTGTTGCTGGGCTGGAGTACACTGGGGTGATCTTGGCTCACTACAAACTCCACCTCCCTGTTTCAAGCGAATGTCCTATCTCAGCCTCATAAGTAGCTGGAACTACAGGTGCACACCACCACGCTCAGCTAATTTTTGTATTTTTAGTAGAGATGGGATTTCACCATATTGGCCAGAATGATCTCAATCTCTTGACCCTGTGATTCACCCACCTCTGCCTCCCAAAGTGCTGGGATTACCGGTGTGAGCCACTGTGGCTGGCCAACAATGTAATCTCCTTTTATAATTAAATTTCTAGGTGGTTTGTCTTCTGCTTTTAATGCTGTGTTTGTGATTTGAATGTGAAGGTTAAAGATGGCCTTTAGCTTGTTGGTCTGGTAAAGAATGTTTCCCGACTATCCTGAGAAGAGCTGAAAAGGGATCCCAGGTGTAGCTTTAAATAAATAATGAGGTGCTGTTTGTTTTTGTGAATTTCTTAATCTTGGCTAAAAGGTATTTTGGCAACGCTCTTTCAGTTTAAAGCCTAAGACTGTTTTCACAAAGTAGGGATCAGGCCTTGGTATGGCATCCTCTTCAGGTCAGTGGGAAAAACAAGGAAACTGAATGGTGTGGTAATTTTGAGGTAGTACGGAAGAATATAAAGAAATGTGAGCTTTGGAGTCAGACCTCAGTTTGCTATGCAATTTACCAGTTATGTGATCTTTGGCAAATAATTTAATCTTTCCAGCTCTCAATTTCCTTATTGTCAAAATTGGAAGGATAATACCACTTATCAGGGATATTGTGAGAATTAAATTTAAAAAATGCATGTAAAGTAAATGTCTTGACAGAGCAAGTGCTCAATAAATCATAGCTTTTATTTTGCTTCCTTTTAAAAATACTTAATATCCCTGCTTCCTGGTCCCATTTTTCAGAATAATTTGCAGTATTTTGCAAGTTTGGCAGTTTGTCTAAAGTTAATTTCTACTCTAATGACAATAACAACAATTCAACATTATACCAACAATCCAATGATATGCAATTATTATATACAAACTATTTTTCATTAACTTGACTACTAACAGGAAGAAAACTTGTGGGCCCACGTGTTACACAGAATCTCTTCCATAGAAGATCACTGTATCTGTATCAGCAAAAGTAGTCATAATATAATTTGAGGGCCACAATGAAGCAATGATCTTATATCATGGTGAAAATTAGGTTAGTTGTTTAAAAAAATCTGTAATTATACCTGTTAAAATGGAATAAATTCCTGCTGTACATCATTAAAGACGGTAAAGTCTTACCTGGAGGAATATGTATCTTAAAAAGCAGCTTAATCTTCTCAGTAAAACTTCCATTGTACATTATGTCTGTTCAATAAAATTCAATCGTAAATAATCATGTATCCAAAGAACATTCAATCAATTTCAGCAACAAAGATTAAGATACAAATATTAGTCAAGAATTAGGATTCAGAAACCTGTTACTTAAGCTAACAATTAAAAAACCATCTAGTCAGATTCCCTCCTTCAAGTGTGTAAGTATATAAGTAAAATATTCTTTATCAAATAAGTAAAATCCTCTCCTGCCTAGCTCCTTTTCCCCAACTTCAGCTTTCTCTTTTCTTTTGAATGAGGACTATGCCTCGTTTAAGGAGAGAACTGTTCTTCAAGGGGCAATCCTGACCAGAAAGCATGCTGGGGTATCTGGAAAAGCCAAGGAACAATATTTACAGGTACAACATCTTAACTGTTTGTAGGTACCACATGTTTGCTGGGTATTTCTCTATCACTGGTCTAGGTTATGTGGTTGAATTTTTATGGAGAAGGGAAGTCCTTCTGTAGTACTCACACATCTGAGCGTGGGAAAATTGGGACATTCTCTTCCTTATGTTAACCCTTAAAACACTCACATCTAACAGCTTGCTTTTCTGAAAGGGTTGGGGAAAATAATATCAAAATACTTAGATTTAGCAACAAATACAGAAAAGGGTCCATTTATTACTAAAGCTGAACATACTGTAACCCATGGTGATATAATCTGACTAAATTGGCAATAATAGCCAGTACTAAGTATTTATAGGAGCACCTTTGTGTTTTGCTTAAAAAAAATATTGGATGTCATCTTACCAATTGCAGAGGAGAATTCTTTGAAGTTTATAAGGCAATCAGAGTTTTCATCCAACAATCTGAATGTCCATAAAGCTAGTGAGTCTCTATTTGCAGAATGAGCCCAGGGACTCAACAAATGATACAACGCTCTGAACTGCTGGCAGTCAATCTGATACTGTTCCAAATATGGCAGACTGGGGTCATGATGCTTCAATACTGGACAACCCAAACACCAATAACAAGATAAAAACAGTTCTTTCTATTAAAAATAAATAAAAAGGAGAGTTGCCAATTAGAAAAAGTAATTTTGGAAGATTTTAAAAAACATGTCTACTAAAATAAAGATTAAAATATTTAGAATGGCTGTGATACAGTTCTGCTAAAAAAAAGCATTATTTTTCATTTAAAGAAGAACAACAATACCTTAAAGATGACATAAAGTTCATCCAATTCATGAAGGCTCAAATTCACATCTTGTGATACAACACGCAACTTTAAAAAGATTAAAAGCAATTTAGAACACAGAATTTAACATTGCAATACAGAAATTCTCTTTAAATTTACTTAGAGTCTCTCTCTGCTAGAAGAAAATATTTGTATTTTAACTTCTTAAATGAATAATAAAAAGTTATTATTATATTATGGTTATTAATATTATCTATTTTATCCATTTAAAAAGTAGTAGTTGACTACAGTTCAATTTCACTCAAATATGTACTTTGATATTCATCTCTTCATACTCAGAAATCACTGCAAAAAGACAGCCACTTAATGTCTATAAATATAAGTAACAGTATTCTAAGTCTTATTCCATATATTCCTCTCTTGCCACATAAGCAGCATATCAAGTCATCATGTGATGTTGCCATTAAATACTTCAAAGACATAGGGAGATGTACATTCCCTCTCTATGCAAGAAAACATAATCCAAGAAGTAATAAGCTTAGAAAATATGCAATTTTATCCTATTCCATGAAGAATAAGCACTAACGGTACAATGATTATGGTATCTAAGAAATATAAAAGCAAAGGTAAAGAAAAAGCTCGAATTGATGAAACACGTAAAATTTAAAAAAAAAAAAAAAACCCAGTAGACTCAGTAAATAAAATTAAGAGTCAGTTAAATGAAAAAAAAATCAACGAAATAGACGAATTTCTGGCAAGTGAGATGAAAGAAATCACAAATGACTATCACTGAGAAGTGGATAATATAAGCACAGATAGAGAGAACATTTAAAGTGCCCAGCAGCGGCATGGTGGCTCACGCCTGTAATCCCAGCACTTGGGAGGCTGAGGCAGGCAGATCACTTGAGGCCAGGAGTTCAAGACCAGCCTGGCCAACATGTTGAAGCCCTGTCTCTACTAAAAATACAAAAATTAACCAGGTGTGGTGGCATACGCCTGTAGTCCCATCTATTCAGGAGACTGAGGCACAAGAATCGCTTGAACCTGGGAGGCAGAGGTTGCAGTGAGCTGAGATCATGTTACAGTACTCCAGCCTGGGGGACAGAGCGAGAATCTGTCTCAAAAAAAAAAAAAAATGCCCAGCAAAATGGCAAACTAGAAGCAGATCATGGGTGCTGCTCTTAGGGAGGGGAAACAAAGGCAGTAGTGAATACTGACCCTAAAAGCTGATCATCTAAGAAACCACACTGGGAACCATTAAAGCAGCAAGGGGACACAGAGAGCAGAGAGGAGTGAAGCTGAGTAGCAGCCTATCTGGATCAGTGTGGAATCAGGAGAAGCTCCCCAACATGGGAGAGGGTGATTCACAGTCTCCACGGGTGTCTGTGTAAGGCTGGGAATGGGAGAATCCCCCTACCTTAATCCCCTACCCACCACTCCCACCCTCCCACCTCACCTCTAAACTGAGGCAGAGGGCTACCCAGACGTTTTGTGGAGTTAACTCCTCTACAAGCCTCGGACCCCGGAACAGACCAACACCAGTGCAACAGCCCCAACAGCAGCCACAGTAATAGGGCCTGGAGCAGTAAGATTGCTCCAGCCTCCTCACCAGACAAGGTTTGGTGCCAGCTTCCAGCCCAGCAGTCCTGCTTCTGCCTGAAATCAGCCAGAGGCTGCAGCCTCCTATTGTCCCAAGAAACACCTAGATGGCAGGGTAGACGACCCCACCCACTCCTGCAACTGGTAGCCTGGCAGGCAACACCTCCTAGAGCTTCCAGCCCAGATGTCCTGCTTCTGCCTGAACTCAGCCAGTGGCTGCAACATCCTGTTGTCCCCAGAAACACCCACAGGCAGGGCAGGTGACCCCACCCAGGTCCACCACTGGTAGCCAGGTGGGCAATGCCTGTTAGCACTTCCAGCCCAGTGGTCCAGCTTCTGCCTAAACTTTGCTGGCAGTTGCAACCCCGAGTACCCCCAGGATGTACTTGGACAGCAGATCAGGTAACACTACCCACCCCCACAGCTCTTAGCTGGGCAAGACTTGCTGGCTTAGGTGGTGCTCAAGCATCACTGAGAGGTGATACACCCAGGTTCGCAGGTTGATAGAGGGGTGGTGTGTGCCTCCCTCTGCAGGGCTGGCCTGGCAAGAATAGGACCTGTTTGTCAACCACAGCTTCTACCTGAGGGAGCCCTGTGAACCAGAGCATCCAACCAAAGAAATGCCAGCATGAAGCCAGTAATTGGAGGGGGTTCCTCCAAGGTCCAGGAGTGGACTAGGTGAGTGGGCCATCTCCCTGCCCCCAATCACAGAATACTACCCCTGAGCCACGCAGCAGAGCAAGAAGCTATCTGGTGGCTAACACTTTTAAGCGCCACCTATTGGATCGCAGCCCAAAACACACCACTAAAATATTCCGCCACTATACACTGCCTGTGAAAACTAAGGCAAAGGCTCCTACCAGCACACAGCCTGAGCCAATGCTTGTGTACGCTGCAATGCTGCCACGGATGCTGGTATGCAAGAGCAAGCATGGATTCCACTGCCACCACCCCGACAAAGTTTTTGCTGGCACCTCCGTTGGAGTGTTGAGGCCAGTGAACTGGGAACACCCTGATCTCTCTGGCAGAGCAGGTTCCTAGCCCTGAGGGCCCAGAGAACAAAGCTGGGGGTCTGGTACCAGCCCCCTAGTTACTGAACTCATCCCAGGAAAGCTCAGGTGAGCCTTGGCCACCTGAAATCTTCAAAATCAAAGCCAGTCAACTCAACCCATCTTATACTACAATCAAACTCTCAAGGGCATCAAAGAAGATAAAAGCAAAAAAATCCATCCGAAGGAAAACAACTTCAGAGATTAAAGGGACAACAGTTCACACAGATAGGAAAGAACCAGCACAAGAACTCTGGCAACTGGTAAAACCAGAGGGTCTTCTTACCTCCAAACAACTGCACTAGTTCCCTAGCAATGGTTCTTAACCAGACTGAAATGGCTGAAATGACAGACATAGAATTCAGAATATACATAGAAATGAAGATCACTGAGATTCAGGAGAAAGTCGAAATCCAATCCAAGGAATTTTAAGGAATATGATAAAATGATACAGGAGGTGAAAGACAAAATGGCCATTTTTAAGAAAGAACCAAGCTGATCTGATAGAGCTGAAAAACTTACTACAAGAATTTCATAATACTATCACAAGCATTAACAGCAGAATATACCAAGCTCAGAAAAGAATCTCAGAACTCAAAGACTGGTTCTCTGAATTAACTTAGATAAAAATAAATGAAAATTTTCTCAACTTTGTTAGATAGGCCAACATTCAAATTCTGGAAATGCAGAGAACCCCTGCAAGGTACTATATAAGATGATCATCCCCAAGACACAGTTATCAGATTCTCCAAGGTCAACATGAAAGAAAAAGTATTTAAGGTAGCTAGAGAGAAGGAGCAGGTCACCTACAAAGGAAATCTCATTGGGCTACCTATGTAGTGTTCAGCAGAAATGCTACAAGCCAAAAAAGATGGAAGGCCTATATGCAGCTATCTTAAAGGAAAGAAACTCTGCTGGGCGAGGTGGCTCACGCCTGTAATCCCAACACTTTGGGAGGATGAGGCAAGTGGATCATGAGGTCAGGAGTTTGAGACCAGCCTGACCAACAGGGTGAAACCCTATCTCTACTAAAAATATAAAAATTAGCTGGGCATGGTGGCAGGTGCCTGTAGTCCTAGCTACTCAGGAGGCTGAGGCAGGAGGATCGCTTGAACCTGGGAGGCAGAGGTTGCGGTGACCCGAGATCATGCCACTGCACTCCAGCCTGGGTGACAGAGCAAGGCTCTGTCAAAACAGAACAGAACAGAATAAAACAAAACAAACAAAAACGAACAAACAAAAAAAACCCAAAAGGAACCCCAGCCGAGAATTTCATATTCAGCCAAACTAAGCTTCATAAGCAAAGAAGAAATAAGATCCTTCTCGGACAAGCAAGTGCTAAGGAAATTCATGTTCATTAGATCTGTCTTACAAGAGATCTTGAAAGGAGTGCTAAATATGGAAAGGAAAGCCATTACCAGCTATTATAAAAACACACTTAAGTACATAGACTATTGACACAATACAGCAACTACACAATCAATTTTGTGTAATAATCAGCTAACAACATGATGACAGGATCAAATCCACACATATCAGTATTAACCTTGAATGTAAACAGGCTAAGCAGAATGTAAACAGAATGCCCCAATTAAAAGGCACAGAGTGGCAAGTTGGATAAGAAATCGAGATACAACTGTATGATGTCTTTAAGAGACCCATCTCACATGCAATGACATTCAAAAGCTCAAAGTAAAAGGAAGAGGAAGAATCTATGAAGCAAATGGAAAACAGAAAAAAGCAGGTGTTGTTATTCTGATTTCAGACAAAACAGACTTTAAATCGACAACAACAACAACAACAACGACAAAACAAAAAAGGGAATTCAAAAAGGGTTCAAGTCAACGAGAAGACAACTACCTTAAATATAAATGCAGTCAACACAGGAGCACTCAGATTCATGAAACAAGTTCCTAAAGGCCTATAAAGAGACTTAGATAAATATATAATTATAGTGGGGGACTTCAACACCTCACTGACAGTATTAGACATATCATCAAGGCAGAAAACTAGAAAAGATATTTGGGACCTGAACTCAACACTTGACCAAATGGACCTAACAGACATCTACAGAACTTCCCCCACCCCTCCCCGCAGAACAACAGAATATATTCTTCTCGTCTGCCTATAGCACATACTCTAAAATTAACCACACAATCAGACATAAAACAATCCTCAGCAAATTCAAAAAACCCCAGATCATATCAACTATACTCTTAGACCATAGCATAAAAAAAATGAAAATAAATACTAAGGAGATTGCTCAAAACCATATTAATCACATAAAAATTAAACAATCTGCTCCTGAATGACTTTTGGCTAAACAATGAAACTAAGGAAGAAATCAAGTAACTATTTGAAAGCAATGAGAATAAAGATACAACATATCAGAATCCCTGGTACACAGTTAAAGCAGTGTTAAGAAGGAAGTTTATAGCA